CAACTTTCTATCCATCATACCAAACAAAAATGAGAGAAAGTAAACTTCCTTTCTCTATGGAGAGAAAGTTTATCTCTCTTATTTTTACATCCTTTCTATTTTCTATCCCTCCTACTAAACATATCATTATGCATTCGTCATTATACATATCATCACTGATTCAGTGGTCCTCCTTGATTTGAAATAATAATTTAGGATAAAAATTTAAAATACTTAACATTGCACTTATTTTATTACAACTACCGCCGACAAAGGGCATTTGTTTTCTCCCATGTTTTTATGAGTATCACTATTCTACTTGTTTCTTCTTGTCCACATGCTTTTAATTTGTATCTTAGGTTTGACCCATTCGGTGCCATATGTTTAAATCATGAAAAGGTTGATGCGACATTTGATTAAGTATTAATAAAATGAGGCTGAACCTATATTTAACTGTATTGTGTCCATTTAGAAACTAACCACTAGTACTGCCTGGTCCAATACCGTCGGCTTGTGCATTGTTTGAAAGGTCCCAAAGCTAAACGGCACCGCTTTGTTTGTAGCAAAATCCCAAGAAATTTGGTCAATAAATCAATATCAAAATGACATTGCTCCTCAACACTTGGAGTAAAGTGGGTCTCAGCTTTCAGCACCGAAGAAAGATGATCGTCAATCCAATTGCTATAATGCATTGAGTTTTAGATAAGGAGCAACCTTTCTTGTTTCTTTATATAGGGGTTGCTATATTATCCCAACTTAACTTGCCTCTTTATTCTAAGAGAGAATTATACTTTACACCCTAAAAATTTTATGAAATCTCATATTGCACCTTCAACAATTAAATTTATCAATATTGTGTCATCAATGTGTTGAAAGTGTTGTAATATAATTATTCTGATAAAAACAACCTCGTAGCAATGGAAGCTAAATGTAATGTCATATTCCAATACTTTTAATATATTAAAAATATACACTTTTAATATATTAAGGAAATGTCATATTTCATTAAAGTCGACGTATCCATATCGAATACGATACTCGTTGGATATTTGATGATACGTATCAGATACACACTAAACGTATCCAAAATTAAATAAAATATATGGATATTTTGCAGATAGTACAATATTTATCGAAGTATGTGTAATTTTTAATTTTAATCTTTAACCATTCCTTTGAATTTTTACATATAATGCAATACATCAATAACAATTCATATGACTTTGAAGACATGTGGATGTTTTTCAAGTAATATTCATTATCACATATCCAAAGAGTATAAATGATTTGATTACGCTACAATTTTAGCAACAAATACTTCTAATCAGACAATCTAATTAAATGGTGGTTTTTATTCCTTTAATTAATTACGCTTATTTTGTAGATGTACTTCAGTGAAACAATATGTAAATTTTTGAAAATAAAAAATTATTAATGTTATTTCTTATTATTAAAGAATAACTAAAAATTATACCTATATCAAGTTATTTTAAAATAGTATAACTATAAGATATATATTTTTATAAACATATCTTGGTCATATTCATATCATATTTTTTAGGATTTTACCTGATTGTTGTATGTGTATCGTATCGTATCCGTACCTCCTATCTGTATCTATGCTTCCTGCCTTCTAACACCATTTCACAGTAACTCCTGTTTCTTTGCTGCATTCCTGTTTTTATACACACTATGGTTTCACTATTCTACCTGTTATTTCGGGTTTCCAAGCTTTTAATATGTCTCTTAGATTATCACTCGATGCCATATGTTTAAAGTAAGAAAAAAATATCACGCAACATTTGACTAAATAGACATCCATTCCTTAATTTATCCAAGAATTATTAATTTGATCCCTCAATTATTAATTCAAAATTAAAAAATTAAAATTAGAGATTTGAGATTTAGGGTTCAATTGATGAAAAATGTTTAAACCGAAGCGTACTTTTTATGGAGAGAAAAATAGAGAGGATAGTGGTTTAACAATTATTTTAGAGTAATGTTCTGTATAAAGATGCAAACGCAGAACCGATTCATACATAACAAAAAATTGTAATGCCCCTAGCACCTTTGTGTGATTCATTCAAAAGTTCATTGTTGTGTGCAGTGTTCAAATACACATTGAGTATTGAGAGATTTTCAAATCCATTATGGTTTTTTGATCAAAGTCACTCGGTTTTGCATTTTTCAAGGGTTTTTGCATGAACATATCATCTAGAAATTGCACAATGATAGTCTAGGATAATATATCTAGCCTCGATTAAAGAGAGATGTAGAACGTTTCGTTAAGCAGTGTCATACCACTACGGGGCATGCACAAAATACCAGACTCTACGTCCCTCTACCTATTCCAGACGCATCTTGTGAGGATCTGTCCATGGACTTTGTGTCGAGTCTTTCGCAGACTCAATGTGGTGTGGATTCTATCCATGTTGTGGTATATGGGTTTTACAAAATGGAGTATTTTATCCTATGCAGAAAAATCTCCGATACATCTAAGTTTTTTCGGGAGTTCGTTGGTTTATATGGTATTTCCAACAGCATTATTTCTAACAGTGATTGTAAGTTCTTTAGTGATTTTTTACGGACATTGTGTAAATGGAAGGATACTTAATTGTAGTATAGTACCTCGACCCATCCCCAAACTGATGAATAGACAAAGGTGATAAACTGAACATTTGGAAATATCTTGCAGAGCTTTTGCCATGTTCTATGATTCTATTTAGTTACATCAATTTTATCAATAATATGTTAGAGTGTTTCTTACTTTATTTGTCTCCAGGTTTGACCGCTGTGTCCAGAGATGGCCCACATTTGTCAGGGATGTGACATGATTAGTGTTAGAGTGTTTCTTACTTTATTTGTCTCCAGGTTTGACCGCTGTGTCCAGAGATGCCCCACATTTTTCAGGGATGTGACATGATTAGTGTCTTGAAAAAAAACATGGAAAACGCACAACCACAGAGGCAAAATAGGTCAGTGCTGAGACACGTTTGGTCTATTTTGCCACCTTCTTCTAGTCTTTTGCAGACCACCATTGCAAATGAAGAGTGTCGTGATGCCCTTTCCAGTCTCTAGTCAATGAGAATTAAGTGGTGCTCATTTTGAGGGGACGCCACTGGACTTTTCTACCTACAAAACCTTAAAAGAAAGAGCTGTAGAATACAACAATTATGGGCTCTAAGTTCTCCTCTCAAATAAGTTTCAAAATAATTATTTAGCCAAAAAAAAAAAAGTTTTCAGAATAATGAAGTGTCGGGCCCTTACCATTTTATTTACTTTTGGTCTAATAAAAAAATAACACAAGATCTAAGTCTAAGGATTCAACTCATGTTACAAGTCCAAGGACTCAACTCATATTACAAGTTTAATGACACAACTCTAAGAGGTCCAGCTAGCCAAGCTTAAAGGACTCATCAAGCATCAGGAGTTACATTAGTAGAAAAGCACGCAAGATCGTATAAGAGTTCATCCAAAAACCTCATCTACCACCTTGGAGTAAGGGTCATCCCAGAGCCTTCTTGCCACCTTGGAGTAAGGGAGCATCCAAGAGCCTCATCTTTGCCATTCGGAGAAAGTCAATCTTATCTCATCCTTTGACCAAGTTATTTAGAGAAGATAATAACTTTCTTGCCTGTTGAGGAGAGGAGAGGTCGTCAAACTATTTAATTACCGTTAGAGTCACCACAAATCCATTATGACTATTAAACGGCATCAATCCGCTATGACCGCTAGATTACCTATTCAATTACTATACTAAGTCATTATAAATTGTATGTCTCACAAACACTTGGGGGGCATCTCACTCATTTTGAGCATAATTCTCTCCTCCTCTCTAAAAGTTTGTAACCTTCTGCTCTCCCACTGCACCGAAGCTAATAAAATTCAGGCGACCCTTGTCATTCCAAGTGGATGTAGGTCATCTTGACCGAACCACTATAAATTTGGTCTTCTCTCTCTCTACTTTACTGCATTTTACATTACTTAACTGACAGGTGGTGTGCCAACCAATTTTATGCATCATCAGTTTGGCGTCCTTTGTGGGAACCGACAAAGTTCTCACGTAAACACTTTCTTTGCTGAATCAAAGGAGATCACCATCGGGATCCATGAGTCAGCCTGAAAATATTCCACCACGAGAGGAGGAGGTTGTTCTTCCACCTGTCAATCTCGTTCCAAATGCGTAGCAGATGCTGAACACAATGCAGCAGCTTATAGTCCAAAACTAACAAATTATGTAATTAATGCTCGAGACAACAAGGAGGAGCGCAACCTGGACCTCAAGCCAAGGGAGCTCCACTCTCAAGTTATCAAGGAGCTCCCCACCTCGGTGCTCCCCATCTAGGTGCGCCCTTGCGCGTCCCACCTATGAGAACTCCCTTAGGCGCCCCACACAGGGGGGGCCCATCATGGGGGACCTCCTCCTGCAGCCCCTGCACCTGCTCCCCATGGTGGAGACCCTCCTTTCCAAGAGAATGAGAGTGAAAACCAAAACATGGAGCAAGGGAGCCATGTCCGTAATAATTCTATGATACCGCCTCCCAATCACTAGGAAGAAAAAATTAATGAGGTACAAAATCAATTTGTTGACCTCTTCAATGCAATGAAGGCACATTGACCCGAGATAGTGGACTACCTCGTAAATCAAACCGACACACTTTTCAAACCTGACGTGACGAATTACTCACTCAAACTTCATACTACGAGCAAAAATCTTGTGCTTTAAATACGCCAACCATAAATATTGGAAACATACAATTTTGTATCCATCTTTTTTGAGCGCCAAATAATATGTTTATAAAATAGCTCCAAATACATTACAATACGTCATATTGCGTATGACAAGGCTACATTTAGATCTATATAAATTTTCACATTATTTTAATAGAGATTACAAGATGTATAAAAACACCATTACCGTCTTAAATTTACATGAAGAAAATAATACTCTCAATATCCTTCTTTCATACAATATTACTTTTACTTCGAAATATTTTCAACCACCAAATATAGCGAGCTCTTTAGTTGTTCTTTGCAGAGATTTTGAATTGAAAGCCATTGGGAAACTTTAAAATAGGGGCTCGCACAAATTTGACATCCTTCACTTTTGTCCATCTGCCAAAAAAATCATAATTATTATTCCTCAGAATAAAATGATAAAATATGTGCGTAAAAATTCTTCATTGTCATAGAGAACATGATTAAATTACCTGTATTTGCTGACCAAGGTGTGGAGGAAAGTTGACAGTAACACCCTAGAATATTCTGCTCCTGCGCATTGCTTCAAACCGAACCCAAACGGCATGAAACTTTTGGTTATAAAACTTGATTGCAGCTCCTATATTTCATGTTGGACAAAACAAACACGAGAAAATGAAAGTTAGACACCATTAGTTTGTTTTTAATTAACTGTTAAAATCAATTGCTGAAAAGATTAAAACGGAAGTAAATATTAAGATGTTCATGATATATATTTAATTTGTACCTTCCAACGCCATGGGTTGAATGAAAGTGGATCCTCAAATTTGGTGGAGTTCAAGTGCACAGCAGGAGCGGCAATTAATATTGGCCACCCGGCAGGAATTGTATATCCTACAAATATATTATTGTTGGTTAACCTCTTGTAATGATCATAAGATACATATATGGCTAATTTCCTATGATTAGTACCTTTGAATTGAATATCTTCAGTTGCTTTGCGAAATAGTCCTGGAGAAATGTTTGCCAACCTAAGAGTTTCATTGATTACCTGTAACGAGTAGATCAACTCTCACATGAGCATAAGCGAGTGTAGCATTTTAACAAAATGAAAGATTTATTCAGATTGTGAAATTGACCTGAAGTGTGAAAGTCATTGATTTATAGTCGTTCCATGTGAGTGGAGAATTAGGGTTCTCTTTGTTTTTGAGGATAGTTTCATGCTCAGCCTGAGAAATGAACAAACATGATATCATATGATTAAAACCCTAGTTCTATTTAAAAGTTTTACCCAAAATGAAAAACAAAACATCAGGAAAAAAAAGGAAAAAACTATACATACAATTAATTCTTGTAAAGCCAAGGGATGCTCGTCAAGTAACGTGACAGCCAATGCCAACGTTGTTGATAAGGAATCAGAAAAGACGAAGATAAGACTATACATGAGTTGAACTATGAATTCTTCTGTCAGGAACTTCTCATTATCCGCTTCTTTCATAATGTGATCGAGCAAGTCTCCACGACGAGAATCAGGTGACATACGCCTCTCCTTCAATTCGACCCTCATCATATCCAGTACTTTCTTATGATTCTGATAAAAATTTAAGAGTCAATGAATGTAAGGCTTGTCGAAAATTAGTTTCTTTAAGCAGAAATAAAATTTATTACCTTTATGCACTTGTGGTACATAGTTCCAGGGATGTTCAAAGGAAAGGACATGAGTCCTTGTATCAAGTCCTTAAACAATTCGCTTATTTGCTCTGGCGATTTTTCGGGATTATAGCTAAACAATTGTTGTGCACCAAAATCTATACTCACCTGCGGGGTGAAATTTAGAAATGTTAGTATCATATCTAGCATGTTAGTATAGTTTTCTTAGCGAGCGCGTGCATAAGTTAGATATTTACTGTTGCAGCCTCGCTTTTCACATCAATCGATTCCTTGCTTGCCCACTTGGCAAGAGTTTTCTTAGCCAATACTTCAATCTGAGGAAGCAACCTATCCTTGAGGCTCTCCATGCCGAACCAACGCAAAGCGGTATTCCTCACATATTTATGGATGTGAGCAGTATCTGGTTTAATCTCTCCAGATTGTGCAAAAACTTTAGCAAATGCATCCAAGTACCACGATTCCACTAACTTCCCATCTCGTTGCATAATGAAATAGTTGAATTCAGGGTCTGTCGTTACAATGAGAGAGCGACCTGCCACATTTGTTCGAAAAACTGGCCCATATCTGAAATTTCAATAGAGAAAATGCATATTAGTCAAGCTGTAATGCTTTCCTCCTAAAACTCGGAGAAGAGTTCTCTATATCAACTATTGCAAGTTATTTCCATCAAATACAACAGCTGACATGCATGTGCTGCTATAATACTGGAAAAAATCATAAATACAAATGAATAATTAGAAAACGTATCCAGAATTTGTTGGAAACATAAAATTGGTGCGCTTTCCATGTAGCTCGGAACCCAGTACCTGAAACAATCGTTCATGTACCTCTCTCTCTCTCTCTCTCCCCCCCCCCCCCCCCCCCCCCTCTCCCTTCCTCTTCGAAATGAAAAAAACACTGAAAACAAGCACCAGAGGAATACATGTAATACCTAATGAGTCATGATTACTTGGAACACACTAAACTAAGTTGTATTACCTTTCAATTCTCTTTTTGATGAAGGGGTGAAGAGCAAGCGAGTTGCTGGGAATGATCAAAGAAAGGGTCTCCCCAATGAAAGGAAGGCCCATGGAACCAGGAGGGAGGACTCCATTTTTGCACTTTGGGTTCCTCCATTTGTAGATCCAGTGAGTGACACAGATTACAAGCAGTGCTGCCACCACACACAACCCGGCCGACAACATCTTCGACTTCTCGTTCCGGGTGTACAAACACCAAAATTGGGGTTTTTACAACGAGAAGAAATGGTGGAAGAAAGAGAGCAAGGTGAAGGTGGTGGTGGATAGGAAAGTAATGTTCTTCCTTTTATAGATCAATTTTGTATTTTGATATCTCATTTAGTCATAACTGGCTGCTGATCGCGGGACAGAAAGATTCGCTAAGATGGTTGGCTCTGACTAAGGAAAAATATTAGGGATAACTGCGACATTACATTATTGGTTAGTGGGTTATACTTTCGCCTTTAGCCGGAGTGAGTAAATCTAGTGATTATGAAACAAGATTTTGGAACCTAATGCACATTAGTCATCAATATTACTGTTTTGAACTACTTTTTTTTTACTTAATTCGTCTACATAATTTATCATAATTATTTAATTGTAAATGGGTCCGAATTAATATTGATGTGTATTGTCAATTTAATTATAATTATTCATTAAGTCAATAAATTATATTAATAAATTAGGTTTAAATAACATTATTCCTTAGCATTTGAATTAAAGTGGGTCTCAACTCTAAACAAACGTCATTGTCAATCCAAATGCGATAATTTAAATTAAGTTCAAATAATGTGATCGGTACAATGTAATATACTAAATAAGGGTTCCTACCGGCAACTTAACTCGCCTCGTTTTTTTAAGGGAGAGTAATATTTTTCACCTTGAAAATTTTAAGAATTTTTACTTTACACTTTTAAAAATTAAAATGTATATTTTTGATGTTGACAGAATAAACAATAGAAATTAATAGAATAGTCATATTATAATACCTTTAATACATCGAAGATCAAATATGATAAATTTATTATTCAAAAATATAAATAATTTTTTTTACATATTTCAAACTGTAAAGTGTAATTTTTTGTTCGAAAGAAAATCCAGTGTAAAGTGTAATTTGCCTTTATTTGAATTCGAATATTGTTGGGCAATGAAAAGTAAACAAGTGCGTGCTGCTGGCTTTAATCTCTCTTCTTTTGTAATGATAATTGAATTTCTCCTCCTTCTTTTTTGCGGGTTTAAAAAAGGGTGAGATATAGGAGAGTGCCTAGAGACCACTTTGATAAGTCTTTATTAGTGAGATCATAAAACTTCTAATCGCACCCATTATACCTTTTGAGGTATGTTTTTGACACTTTTTGCAGCACCTTCTTTTGTCATGAAATTGAATTCCTCTTTTGTCGTTGCTAGTAATAACAATTACATACAACAATACTATATATCATTTTTATGCACCACCATAATATACATCATTCGATTAGAAAGTTTTTCAAAATTTATCAAATATTAATGATTATAATTGCACCACGTTGGGTGATATATGTGAGATGGTGCACAAAGATAATCTCCACAACATTATTCTAACAATTAATAGAAAATAGACATCAAGACTGACCATATAGATTTGACAACTACCGTGGACAAAGGACATTTTTTTATTGGCCAACATTTGTTTTTATACTCACTATGGGTTCACTATTCTATTTGTTCTTTCCGGTCCCCAATCTTTTAATATGTATATTAGATGCCCCCCTCGATGCCATATATTTAAAGTAAGAAAAAAATAGCACGCAACATTTGACTAAATAAGCACCCAATAAGCATCCATTCCTTAAATTGTGGAAGAATTATTACTTTGATCCTCAGCTATTAATTTGAAAATAAAAGGCCAAAATTTTCAATTGTGGGTTATGCTTTGTTTTCTTGATCAGTGAGGTTTATACTTTGTTTGGTATGATAAAAACCAGAAGGATATAAAATTAGAGGGAGATAAAATATCATGTTTGGTGAAGAAAAAAAAAAGAGAAATGATGGAAAAATACATTAATTAACTTTCCTTTTGACTTATCAAAATCTATCTCTCAAAAAATTAGGAGAAAAAGTAGATAAAGAGTTAATTACGTATGTTAAATGTTTGCTTTACCTATATATTCTTTAATATATGCCTATATCAGATTTATTTATTACATATTATGTATTTAAGATATAATAATAAAATATGTATCCATATTTTTTTCATCCTTCCACTTTTCTATCCTAACAAACACTAAAAAATTAATACTTCATACTTTCTATCCCTCCCTACGAAACACAAATGACAGAATTAATTATTCTTCACTTGAAGAATAGAAAGTATATCACTCTCATTTTTCATCCTTTCATTTTTTTATCCACCCAACCAAACACACAATTAGCGTTCAGTTGATGACAAATGTTTAAACTGAGGCGTCCTTTTGATGTAGAGCAAAATAGAGAAGAGAGTGGTTGTGCAATTATTTTAGAGTAATGTTGCCTATATATGTGTTATCACGCCCCAACCTGATTCCTATGGATTCGGTGTGCGAACTCAATTACTATCAATTTCAATCCATACAAAGCACTAAAATTCCCCCTCTATAAAAATAGAAATACTCAGACTTTAAAAATCATTACAAATGTTCAAACCATTCTCAAAATTGTGAAATTTTACCAATGAATCAATAATCCGAAATCTCTAATTCTTCAAATTAACCTGATCATTTTTTGACTTTCAATTAATTATCAGTCTACATCTGAGAGGGATAAATGGGGGTGAGCTTGGGAAGCAATTTACAACATAACAAACGAAATAACAAGATTACAAGATAATCAAACAATCAACTACAGAATCAACAAATAAAATGAGTATTTAACACATATTCCTTCATAAAAATCATACAAAACTCAATTCTCCAACTTTTCAAATCATTCATGGTTTCATACCAGGTTCGTCTAAATAACAAGTTAGGCAACACTTAGTACATCCCATCTATCACACACCCTAGAGGGCCACAATCACATCTCAGTATCATTACCATACTACCAAGTGTGTCTGACACATGTATCAACAAGTTCCGTAGTAATTCACCAATCATAAACATAATTTTTGCACATCACGATACGTCAAACGAGAATTCAAAGAAATGACAAAACTACAATGATTCGATAATCGATTAGAATGTAACAACGACAGTAATAAAAAGACTCTTTGCAAAGAGATTTAGATATGAATACATATTGTGAGATAAACCACTTACAAATTCTTAATTAAAACCACTAGATGTGAAGATCTCGATGCCTCGAACAATCCCACAACATTTCGTCTTGATCAACTATGATCTAACCATTTAATTTCAATGGTAATAATCCCTAAAATAATATTTAATCCAATAAACTAAGCAAAACTGATATAAAAGTCATTTAGTTTACAAGCAGAGACTTAGAGTACTTACCCATGCTGCATAAAGCAACTCTTCTCTCTCTCTCTCTCTCTCTCTCTCTCTCTCACTCTCTTCATTCACTCAAATTCAGCTGCTACACTCTTAAGTTTCTCCACTCACACATATTAGACATGGTATATATATATATATATATATATATATATATATATATATACCAGTACTTAGGTTTATATGGATGTGATGCATCATTAATTCATTTTCAGAAACGTCTCCCATTGGTACTCAAAATTATACTTTAATCCCTAATTTTGACTTTTTATTTTGAGGTGTCATGCATTTAAATATTTAAGGATAGCAAGAATTTCTGCTAAAATATCACCAATTCAATCACATCTGTATCAATTTATTTATACACAGTCTAAGATTTCTCTTTTATATCCTAAAATCTCTCCACCTATAATTGTTCCCCTTTATTTGTTTATTTAGTATTATTATTATTTTGATTCGGGATGTCACATTCTCAACCCCAATTTAATCTCACAACTACCAGTTTGATTTGAGATTGCTCCATTTTTTTCTTCCAAGAGGTCTACGTTAGTGCGGAGTTGTCCTTCATTTTCCTCTTCATTGTAATACTAGACTCTGAAAGTTTGAATCTCCATTTTGGTTGGGATTAATACCTTTGTATCGTAGGCTAGGTAGAATGGCGTTTCCTATATCGAATTTCTGATCATCGTGCAATACACCCACAGGATTCGGCATAATTCCTCTACCCGTAGCCCCTTTGACTCCTTTAGGTGGGTTTTGATTCCTTGCATAAGTGTCTCGATGGTCACATCTACTTGGCCATTAGCCTCTGGGTAGCCTTGGGAGGAATATTTAATTGCGAACTCCAAATTCATAGCAAAATTCTCTGAATAGATCATTATCAAATTGCTTTCCATTATCTAACACCAAAACATGAGGCACCCTAATTTGACAAAGTATGGACTTTCAAAAGAAATCTCAAAGTCTCTTTTATGTGATAGTGGTCAAGGGTTTCGCCTCAGCCCATTTGGTGAAGTAATTAATCGCCACAGCTGCAAATCTGTTATGCCCCTTTCCGAGTAACAGAGGTCCGACTATGTCAATTCCGCATTGAGCAAATGACCAAGGACTTGTCATAGGAGAAAGCTCCTATGGAAGTTTCTTTGATACGTTAGCGAACCTCTGACAACTATCACAAGTTTTTGTAAACTGCATGGCTTCCTTCTATATGGTTGGCCAATAGTACCCCTAGCACAGTGCTTTGTAGGCCAGAGCTCTCCCTCCTATGTGGTTCCCACATTCTCCTTCATTAATATCTTTGAGAAAATACTGAGCATCCTCTTTCTCCAAACAATTTAAATAAGGAGTGACATTGACCTCTACTTTGACCTTGTCGATGCTAAGTTTAGGAAGGAGCTCCATAGGGATTGTACTTGGGAGCTCATCATGGAATGATGAGGCCAAGCGAGCTGAAGAATCAACATTTTTGTTTTCAACCCTGAGAATCTATTCCTTGTTGAAGGCTTCCAAATGGGATATACACTAGAAAACTTGGGCTAAGTATTCAACCATCCTGGTATCCTTCGCCATCTATTCTCGATTAGTTGAGAATCTACCTTCACTAGGAGGTTTTTGACTCCACCTGTCAATGCAAAACATAATCCAGCGAGTAGACCTTCGTATTATGCCTCATTAATTGAGGCAAAAATCCAAATCTTAAGACATACTCTATCTTAAGTTGAT